AAACCTATTTTTTCCTCATTTATGTATTGTCGCAAATACCCTTTGTACAATAATTATTTTAAAAAATCGTCAATTATAAATTATTAATGAAATGTCAATTTTACTCTCTATTTTAATGCAATTTTAAATCTACATTTATTGCTGAATTAAAATTTATAAAGTTAATTATATCATTATTCATAAAAATCATTAAACCACCCATCCAAAATTGCATCAACATGAATTCAAACTTGTGACCATCTCAAAACATACAAGAATACTTACCATTAAGACACAACACATAATTGACAATAAACTAACAATACAGATATATATCACAAAGCGCTACAATTTATAATGGTTATAAAACTTATATAAATAATGTTAAATAAATTATTAATTCTCATATAATTATTATTATTATATATTAATAATATCCCACACTAACAAATCTTTATATAATATATTTTAAAAATCTAAGGAAATGCTGATCAACTCGTGTAATTTAAAAATGAATTTCGAAAGAATTTGAAGTTTGAATTGAATAGTAAATTGTAAGATTCAATTAAATCGTAATATTTGAATCAATTAAACTCATGTGTTTTCAATTCAAAAACAATATTCAAAGATTTGATCTATTAAGCTCAACTCAATTCAATTCGTAGACAATATTCAAATATTAGAATCGGTTAAACTCAATAATTTACAACAGCGTATTAATCAAATTATGTATAGTTAAAGTTTAGTATCTTTTTTTATTGAATTTTATAATAAAAAATAATAAAATTTATTTCGTAAAAATCGTAAGATTTAATTGGTTCATGGTTAGATTAAATTTACGATTTACGATTTGATTCTTTCGATTTTACGAATTAAATTATTATTTTTTTGTTAAAATTGAATTAAAAGGATAGTAGACTTTAATTATAAATAGTTAACTCGATTAATACGTTATTGCCAGTGGTTGAACTTAATCGATTCAAATTTTTGAATAATATTTACAAATTAAAAGGATTTGCTCTTAATTGATTCAAATCATATGCTTTAATTAATCTTATGATTTGATTCTTACGTAATTTAGGAATTATTTTTTTATGATAAAATTGAATTAAAAATGTATTACACTTTAATTAATAATAGTTAATTTGATTAAGACGTTCTTATCAATAGTTGAGCGCGCTAATTAATCGATTCAAATATTTGAATAATGTTTACAAATTGAAAGGACTTGAGATTAATTGGTTCAAATGTTACGCTTTGATAAAATATTACGATTTACGATTAGGCTCTTACATGTGTTATGAATTAAATGTATTATTTTTTATGACAAAATTAAATTAAAAAGATATTAGACATTACTTATAAATATTAAATCAATTATGTAACACATTATGTCAATAGTCAAGCAACCGATTCAAATATTTGAATAATGTTTACTAATTGAAAGGATTTGAACTTAATCGATTCAAATTTTACTATACGATTAAATTCAATATTAAAAGAAAATTCACAATATAGTATTTGTAGTATATAATTTTATTTTAAAGTGAGAAAACTACTAATTGGAATGAGTTATAAATTTTTCTTCTTCTAAATAAACATATTATTTTATTTTTTATTTGGATTTGTCACACTATCGATTTAATAACATAAGTGAGTTTGAATTAAGTTATGCATTTTTTTTATATTTAATTGAGCATTCTTTACATTTTTAAATGGTGGAATTTATTAATAATTTTAATATTATATAATAAATGATTGATATTTGGCGTATTGAACTGCAATTCTTTATATTTTTCAAACTTTATTATATTAAATTTGTTAATAATTTATTTAATATCATTTAATAATAATGAATGTTGCAATTAATATTTTAATTAACAGTATTTATACAATTATGGTTAAATTTATCATGATAAGTTAATGTGCTTGGATGGTTAGGAGTGATGAATGTATTAAGATGTCCCAAGATCTAATCCCTAATGAATGCATTTTTTTCGATTATTTATCAAATAATACTCGGTCACAATGAATTTAAATTAATTATTTAATTAAAATATAGTAGGGGGTAAATTAGATAATTCAATGTTAATCAATTTTATATTAATTTAATAAAAAACAAATCGAAGGATAATTTGGTAAAGTACTTCATTTTTTAGACATAGGCCATGTTATTTTCCTAGGGTCCAGATTTAATCTTAGAAAATTAATAGTGATTAATACATATTTCATATAAGTTTAGAACACGTGGTTTCACCCTAGAAAGACCCTATTCATTTTATATTTTTCATATATTGATGCTTAACAAGTTAACTTAACTATAAATGGGATATTAAAACTCGTAAGAACTATTTAGATACTCGAAACTAAACTTTGGAGTTATCAAATGGAAGTCGTATTTTGGCATTTCTCCTCTTGAATATAAAAATACAATCTAGATAGATAAATATCAAATGTGATTAAAAATTTCAATGTCCATTTAGAAAATAATATATGACAGTTAAATATATAAACCACTTTAATAATTTTTAATTAATTAAAAACTATTTTATACATATGCCTCGAGCAAATATGTTTAGGGGTTTTTTATATAAATCTCCAACCAAACATCTTTATTATTTGGGCGATTGGTAAAAAGACTCATCACATGGGACTTAAATGCATTTTGGTCCACAAAAAAAAACAATCTCTTAATTAAACCCATCTCCATGTCTTTAGTCTAAAATACCCTCAGTAATCAATTCCACCCATTATGCTCTAACTTCCTTAATATTACACATTGACCCCGGATTTAAACGAATACAGTAATATTAATTAAAATTATTTTTTTTAAGAATAAAAAAGTCAATTAACGGTTAAATTACTGTCTCCAACAGTTAAATAACTGCTGGAGACAGTAATTTAGCAACGAATACAGTAATATTAATTAAAATATTTTTGAAAAAAAAATTCAATTAACAGTTAAATTATTGTCTCCGACAGTTAAATAACTACCGGAGACAGTAATTTAGCAGTAAAGACAGTAATATTAATTAAAATATTTTTTTTAAGAAAAAAACAAAACTATAAAAAAAAAGTCAACGCCGGAGACCCGGCGGTCAACGGCAATTGACCGGCCGGAAAAAAATTTCAGGAAAAAAAAAGAAAAAAAAAAGTCAACGCCGGTCAACGGCGGCGACCGGCGGTCTCCGGTGGTGGCGGATCAAAATTGGGGTCAAAATTGAAATTAAGGTTAAAATTGGTTAATTGATGAAATTGTACTAAATTGTGGTGTAAATCATGAAATTGGAGTTGAATTGGGTTTCAATGAATTTGGGGTAATTTTGGTATATATAAAAGGATTTTCCTTATTTGCAAATAAGTTTGAATGAGCTGGATTTATTTGAAAGACAAAAAAGTTGGATGTCTCTCTTTTAATTAAGTGCCCTTGTCATGGGCCTATTTGTCATTACCCCTTATTATTTTAGGTTTAGGGGTTATATCTCTTTCACTAATAAGCCCATCCCTTTAATATTTATTATAAATAAAGGGAACATTCATGTATATGACAATATTACCCCCAACCCTTTATACCCAATTATTAATTGTAACCCCAATTTAATCAATTTTGTCCACAAATATCCAATTTTGACCACAAAAATCCAATTTTGATTTTTTTTTTTTCAAAAACTTATTTTTTTCAAAACACAATTTTTGCCGCCGGATTCGGGCGACTTTACGATTTTTTTTCCTTCCGTATTTTTTCGCCGGTTTCTGGCGTTGACTCGTTGACCGTAATTGTGCTGTCGCTGACAGTAAATTAATGTAATTATACTGTCAATGATAGTTAATTAACGTAATTGTACTGCCGTTGACAATACATTTATGTAATTGTTCTGCCGTTGACAGTAAATAAACATAATATTAACTTTTTTTATTTTTTGTTATTTTTTTTATTTTGTTTGATTTGTTGACAAGTCAACGTGATTATATTATTGTCGTTAACAGTATAATAACTGTAAATACAATAATATTACTGTCAACAACATCAATATTATTATTTTTTTGGGTTTTTTGTTTTGTTCGTGTTATTCACGGAGTAACGTAATAATATTACTGTCTATTATTGTAATATTACTGTAAACACAATAATATTACTGTGGTTGACGGTAATATTGTTGTTGTTATAGTAATATTGTTGTCAACCACATCAATATTATCATTTTGTTTGGATTTTTTTGTTTGTTTGACTTATTCACGGAGTAACGTTAATATTACTGTCTATTATTGTAATATTACTGTGGTTGACCGTAATATTACTGTTGTTATAGTAATATTACTGTCACTCACAATAATATTAATTCTTTTGTCTTTTTATTATGTTTACATTTGTTGAACGGTCAATATAGTAATATTACTCTACTACACAATAATAATGAATTTTGTTGTGTTAATATTACTGGGCTACTTTCTCAAAAAAAAAAAAAAATATTACTGGGCTAGAGATTAATATAGCAATTTTACTGTGTTAAACTGTAGTTTAGTTAATTTTATTGTGTTTAACAGTAATATAGTTAATATTACTGTCAATCACAGTAATATTGCTGTTTAAACGAAAAAAAATGTTACAGAAAGAAAAAAAAAATCGAAAAAGTCAACGCCGGAAACCGGTGTTTAAAACAAAAAAAAAAAGTCAATGCCGGAAACCGGCGGCAAAAAAAAAAATTGAATTTTTTTTTTTGTCAAAATTAAATAATTTGTGAAATTTTGGGTCAAATTGAGGTTAAATTAAATTAAGGCTGAAATTGGACCATATTAAAGTATGAGGGGCTATTTTAGTCTTTTACAAAAATCTGAAACATGTGTGGACTTATTTGTAAATGAATTTTTTATCTGGATCTCTTTATGAATAAGTACCCATTCATGGGCTTATTTGTAATGACCCCATAAATTTATATAATTAACAAAATAAAATATGAAGTATCACATTTATATTTGATAACTCATTTTAATTTATTTTTTTATTGGAGATGCTCAAAATTCAAATGCATTAGATTTGCGAACGCATAGGTCAAACCTACATCATACTCAAAAAGTATTAAACATATAGATTATACTTGTCAATTTAAGTGTGAAATATGTCGATGTTACGGTGATACAACAATAGATCATATAATATCTCGATGTTATAGTGATAAACCAATAGATCATAGATGATCTAATTATCATACTTTATTACCTAACTATATTCATAATATGAATACACTCGCAAACTATGAAACATTTCATGTTTGGTACACAATTTTTTTTTTTTTTAAAACAAAGACAGAAAGATTAAGATTGAAATTGCCGAGTTACTAAACTCCATCTTGAATATTAGTGTGGGGTGCTGGTTTTACTGAGAGTCCAACCTCTCCTTGGGCTTTTCTTTCGGCCATCATTTTCTTTGTGGATCTATAAAATGTGGCATACAGTAATAATTGGGCCAACCCAAATAATGATCCTATCCCGTTTGGTGCCTGCATTCAAATTCACGAAGACGTTTTAACACCAATCTATTTTCATCAAATACAATTGATAAACTAATTAGCGTATAACTAACAAATATAAATATACATAAAAATGGAGTGCGAGTGCAACAAAGAAAAAATGCTTACCGCAACGAAAGGGTCGAAACGGATAAGAGCATAAGAAGTCCAGCAAACGCCATTGAGAAATGAGAAAACGGAAAGATAAAATGGCATATACTCTACGCTTCTTGTCTTTATCACCAGTTTCTGCACCACATCCATATCTCATCAATTATATATATCACCACACTCATATTAAAAAAACAAAAATTGAAATACTTACTTAATAATTGTTTTTTTTGGGGCAAAAATTCAGCTATAAATTCTTAGTTTGTGTGGTTGAAACACCACCACCACAAATTTAACCCGCCCCGAATGACAATTTATACTATATTTATGAGAATAATTGCACCTTTACTTGTATGAGTTGAAACATATAGTTATAGTTTGTAGGATGAATATGGAACAACAATTATTGCATATTTACTATTCATGGAACTCATACACTATATATATATATATTTATATATATTTGGTATATTAATCAATAATCATACACAAGAATGAATAAGTCCTTTTAACAAATTAAATGTGTTGAAAAAATAAGGAAAAGAAAAGAAAGAAACGGAAATACGTACCATGACTGAAAGTGGAGATGCGTACATGATAACATTACCGGCAATGCAAATGCTACCGACGATGGTGGAGCGAATTTTGGTATCGTGGACCAAAGTTAAAACAAGAAGGGCCAAAACGGCCAAGAAAATGCACTCCGCCACCACAACCACCACTATCTTAACCCTTTTCTTGTAATCGGAGAATATCAGAAATATTGATAGATAAATAATCTCAATCACAAAACCTGTCCCATTAATGGTAACCACAAGTGTGCTGTGAGGGTGTACCATAGGCAGTCCATATAGTACCCATAGCCCACAGTTCACAAATGTGGCTAGGTACGGTACTGGTGAGTACTGCTCCACTGCTTTTTTCTTCCATATTCCGTAAAATGTTGGCCTGTCATTATTTTTCAGAATCATCATAATTAATTATTCGAAATAATAAAACAATCAAAAAACTAAAAAAATAAATTAGGAATAATATATTGAAGCTTACAGAGGGGACAAAAACAATACGAATGAAATGATGTTCCCTGGAAAATAAATTATATAAGAATTCATTAGTTTGCCAAATAAAATCAAAATAAAGAGTCGGATTTTCTTTTCTTTTTTCAATTTGTGAGATTTTAAAGAAATTATTAAAATTAATTTGCTAAAGAAAAAATGAAAATAAAGAAACTGACCTATAATACCAACTACAGTGCGAGCAACTTCTCTTGAGAACATTATTTCTTTATATATTTGTTTACAAACGCACTCTGCAAAGGAATGAACTGAAACGATGAGAAGAAGGCGTTTGTGAAAGATATATACAGATGATATGCTGTATATATAGGCGAGGATGAAAGCAATTTAAAGAAATATATTCTTTTTTTTTCCTTTTTGGGATTTTACCTGCGTCGTCTATATATGTATTTGGTTAAGGAAATTCATAACAACATCAATTGTGTATTTGACTAATTTAATTAAATTTTTTTACTTGAGTCAAGGTATTGAAAATCCTATAGAAATTATTTAACAGGATTTAGTCAGTGCATCATTTTGTAATTAAACTGAAAATCTATATTTGATTATACAACATATTATGAGTATTTGATTTGATATTCATAGTAATTAATATTACTGTCCTTCCTCATTTTTCATTAATATACCATTACTATAAAATGAATAACACTGATATTTTTATTAATAATGATACTTTTGAGTCGTTGAAACAATTGAATTTTTAAATAATCAAAAAAAGAAAAAAAATTGAATTTTTTATTTTTATAATCTGTAAATTAAATGGAAGAGTAATCCACGTGTATTTTTTTACATCTTTTTTGGATGCCTCGTTATAAATTCATGTTTCGAAATAAATTTACCCTTTAAAATTATTTTCTCTTACTCAAAATAATGGTATACCACAAACTTTTTAACTCACCCATGCTAAAGCTAAAGAAGATAGTATACCAAATTAGTTATATAAATTAGTTATAACTGAACTGAAAATGATGCATAGACTGTGATCTTCAAATTAAGCTCTCAAAGAGAGCTCAATTATATATACGTGTCGCATACCCACATACATTCCAAGAGCCCTCAAATTTTATAGCATACGTATTGTGACACTTTTCTTATCAAGAAATGTCATATTATATATCTCTACCAAATTCAACATTTGATTCACCAAACTTAATCAGTGATTAAAAATTAGGAATTTTTACGAATAAGTCTCTCCCCACCATCTTTATTATTTTAGGTTCAGGGGTAATATGTCTTTCATTAATAAGTTCGTTCGTTTAATATGTATTAAAAATAAAGATAAAATTAATGTATATGACAAAATTAACCCCAACCCTTTAAACTCAATTCTTAATTGTAACTTTAATTTAACTTTGATTTCATCAATTTTGACCACAAAAATATAATTTTGTCTTTTTCTTTTTTATTATTTTTTTACCGCTGGTTTCCGGCGTTGATTTTTTTTTTCTGTCTGCTTTTTCCGCTGCCGGTTTCAGGCGTTGACTTTTTTTCTTCTGCTTTTTACGCTGCCGGTTTCCGGAGTTGACCGACAGTCAATGCTGGTCTCCGATGTTGACTTATTTTATTTTTCCTCTTAAAAGTTTTATCCATTTTTTACGCTCGCCGCTGAACGTTGACCGTAATTATATTGTCAACCATATCAATATTATTATTTTTTTGCGTTTTTTGTTTTGTTTAATTTGTTGACCATTCAACGTAATAATATTACTGTCGTTGATGCTAAAATTATTGTAAACACAATAATATTACTGTCAACCCCACATCAATATTTTTTTTATTTTTGCCTCTTTTTGTTTTGTTTGATTTGTTGACCGATTAACGTAATAATATTACTGTCTTATATTATAATATTACTGTAAACACAATAAATAATATTACTGTAGTTGATTGTAATATTATTGTCGTTACAGTAATATTACTGTGATTCACAATAATATCACTACCAACCACATAAATATTAATTCTTTTGACTTTTTATTATGCTTGACTTTGTTGAACGGTCAACATATTAATATTATCCTATTACACGATAATAATGGTTTTTGTTGTATTTAGATTACTGTGCTGAAGAGTAATATACCAATGTTAAGAATATTTTAAAAACCGGGCCGGACATTGAACCGGACGAACAGCTGGATCACGGTTGGACCAGTTCAACCGGTTTTTTTTTTTTTTTTTTTTAAAAAAAATTATTTGTATACAATTTTTATAGTATTTATTATAAAAAAAATATGGAGGAAATTAACTATTCTTCACCAATATTAAAACAGTAAATTAATAGATCTATTTCATTACATATATATCTTTATAGATAGTAATTTTTTATGTATTAATAAAAGTTAAGTAATTAAATAAAAAACAAAGCAAGAAATTACAATAAGAATCGTATTTAAATTCCACTTTGCACCCTTGAAATGTGGCATTTTGGCACTTTGCATTCTTGAAAAAAATTAATAGCATTTTGCACCCTCGATACACAATAAATCATTCACAATGCACCATGAATTGAATATTTAAAACTCAACGAGGGAATTTTCATTAGTATTAGTATTAGCATTAGGATGACATTATATTAGCATTAGAATTAGGATTATAATTTTGATTAGCATTAGTATTAGAATTGACAAAAGTATTAACATATTACTATTAGTACCATATTAGCATATTAAGGTTGACATTATATTAGCATTGGCATATTAAAATTAATATTATTATTATTATTATTATTATCAAATTAGAATCCGCGTTAGCCTTAGCATATTAGTATTAGTAATATTATTACTATTGCTATTAGTATTACTAGCTAATAGTGTTAGTATTAGTACTAGAATTATTTGTATTAGTAATATTATTAGTATTAATATTAATATTGGTATTAGTATTGGTATTAGTATTGATATTGGTATTGGTATTGGTATTGGTATTGGTATTAGTATTGGTATTGGTATTTGTATTAGTATTGGTATTAATATTGGTATTAATATTGGTATTGGTATTGGTATTGGTATTCCTATTTCGTATTCGTATTAGTATCAGTATCAGTATCAGCATTAGTATTGGTATATTGGTATTGGTATTGGTATTGGTATTGGTATTGGTATTGGTATATTGGTATTGGTATTGGTATTGGTATTGGTATTGGTATTGGTATTGGTATTGGTATTGGTATTGGTATTGGTTTTGGTAATAGTATTAGTATTAGTATTAGTATTAGTATCAATATTAGTATTAGTATTAGTATCAGTATTAGTATTAGTATTAGTATTAGTATTAGTATTAGTATTAGTATTAGTATTAGTTAGTATTAGTATTAGTATTAGTATTAGTGTTGTTATTAGTATTAGTATCAGTATTGGTATATTAATATTAATATATCGGTATTAGTATCAATGTTAGTATCAATATTAGTATCAATATTCGTATTAGTATTACGAGTGACATGGACAATTATACGTCGCAATAGTTTATGTATCAGTTTTATTTTCCACATGGATAATCGAATATATTGTTTTTTGTGCAAAGTAATTCTATGCACACATTCTTCCTAAGTTATATATTGAAAATAATGAAGAATAACATGTTATTCATCCTAATGGTAGATGTGACTGTAGCTTCGTGTTCTACTATTGATTTTGTTTTACTTGAATTTGATTTATTATAGTCAGATAGTTGATTACATATATTATTTTGTTTTTCTCATTTTCAAACTAATCCCCGTGCATCGCACGGGTGAAGAGTACACACAATAATAATGATTTTTATTGTATTATGATTACTGTGCGCTGAAGAGTAGTATGCAATATTAAAAATGTTTTTAAAATCAGACCGAATATTAAACCGGACGAGCAATTGGGTCACGGTTGGACCGGTTCAACCAGGATTCGATTGAGTTTTTTCATTGTTTTAAATTAATTGTATACATTTTTTATAGTATCTATTATTAAAAAATATATGTAGGAAATTGACTATTCTTCACCAATATTCAAACAGTAAATTAATAATCTATATCATTACATATATACCTTTATAGATAGTAATTTTTTTTATGTGTTAATAAAAGTTAAGTAATTAAATAAAAAAAGCAAGAAATTACAATAAGAATTGTATTTAAATCCCACTTTGCACCCTTTAAATATGGTATTTTGGCTCTTTGCACCTTTGAAATAAATTAATACAATTTTGCACCCTCGAAACACAATAATAAATCATTCACAATGCACCCTGAATTGAATATTTAAAACTCAATGAGGATATTTTCATTTTTATTGATTTTTTTTTCCAGGGTGCAAAATAACAAATACAATTATTATTTTCTTCCACCCGCAACATAATTTCGAGGGTACAAAACTCGGAAAAACAAAAGTCACAAAGAATTACTGTAAAAACTCTATTTTCGTACAAAACAAATCACTAAATTATTCGATTGATGGATTTTTATATAGTAATTAGTAAAAATATTTGGTAGAAATCTTTGAAAATATAATTTTCAAATAAAATTAATATCTAAATAACTGAAGGATATTTTTTGTTCTTCTGTATTCTGCAAACTATTTTTATGTGGAAAAGAATAATTTAATATGTTGATGAGATGTTTTTTCTTTTGCACTTCGTAGTTTTGAAAGGATTGATAAAATAAAAAAATTGGTTTGACATTTGACATCGTAATAAATATCACTAAAAATATTAAATGACTTTTATTAACATTAAAAAGTCATTCGGGGTGCGTTATGCATATTTTATTGTGTTACGAAAGTGCAAAGTGCACATTTTTTTCGAGAGTGCAAAGTACCAAAAAATTATATTTCAAGGGTGCAAAGTAGAATTAAGCCTTTAAATTACTACATGTATCAAGACCTACTGTGACGAGTGAAGACTCTGCCGCCGCCAGCCTTATTCTTTCCATGTCTGCAAAATTTTCTTTTATTTCCTTTTCTTTCTTCTCTTCTTTTTTTCTCAATTCCTCCCTTTTTTTCTTTTCTTTTTTTTCTTTAACAAACCCAACCTCGAAGGTAACTATGAGGTTTTCAGTTTCTTCTCCATTTTTTTGATTTTTTTCCCCCTGCCCATACCTGGTTTTTGGGGCCAGTTTTCACCGGTTTCGGCCGGTTCAATCGGGATTTCCACAGTTCGTAGAGAAGTGACCCGGGTTTTATGATTTTCTGGGTATTGAAATTCAACCGGACCAGACTAGCTACCAGTTCGCAGTTGAACCAGTCGGTTCGGCCGGTCCGGTTTTCAAAATATTGAATATTACTATGTTAAACTGTAATATAGTTAATATGACTGTCAACCACAACAATATTACAGTTTAAACGGTCCAAAAATGTTGAAGAAAAGAAAAGTTTTAGAGATCGGCGGCAAAACGAAAAAGAAAAAAAGTTAACGCCGGTCATCGGCGACGATGGGCGAAATTCTAGTTAAAATTGAGTTAGTGTCAAAATTGAATAATTGGTAAATTTATAGTCAAATTGAGGTTAAATTGAATTAAATGATGAAATTGGAGCATAATAAAATGTGATGGGGTAATTTA